GTTTAGGGGCTTAGTTTAGGGGTTTAAGGGGGTTGAGGGTTGAGGATTTGAAGTTTCTCCATTTTAGGTTTGGGGGTTTTAGGGTTTGAAGTTCCCTCAACGGATTTTGGGTTAGGTTGTTAGGGTTTGGGGTGGATTCAAGCAGATGTCCAAACTTAGCGGAAGGGACCACCTTACCGCACATTTATTGGATTTTATTGGAGCCCCTTCAGGCGCCCATGACTTGGCGAGAAGGCTTTCACATCTTTGTGGGCTTGGGGCATTCGGGCCTGAGAGCTACGGCCCATGGCCAAGGGATGAGGAGGTATTAGGTTGGGGTTTAGGGCTCAGGGCACTGCAGGCTGGAGGCACGTCAGAGAGTCCTCCTTCAAAAAAAAGGGCACTGTAGCAAGCATAGACATACCCCAGACCTCACATCCTATACCCCCCATACACAATTTTTCAACCCGCCTAATAAAACAACCCTCTGCACTGAAATCCATATCAAAGCACCTCCCGACCAAAAAAAGCACCTCCCGACCAAGACCAAACACCAAAGCACAAAAGACAAGCCCGAAGCGCAGTCCTTACCCCAGACGTCACATCCTATAGCCCCCTCATGCTTTCATAGGTGGCTCATGCCTGTGCAGCAGAACGGAAAATTTTATGAGATCGCAAAGCCTGCACCAGTTTCTTGCAAACTCACCCGGGGGAACTGCAGGATTGGCACTCATTTTCAGAGGGCCCCCAAACTAGATGCGCCTTTGCATCCATTTCAGGCATTCCATGATTGCTGACATCCGTTCCTTCTTATTTGTGCCCCATTCAGCTTTCGTAACGCTAGCTGCTGAGGGCTCCGTCTCCTGTAGTAGTTGCCATCAGACGACCCCAGCGCGCACGCACCGTTGACGGCCTCCCAACTGAAGAGCTGACAGATGCATTGTCATCTGATTCCAGAATGTACCTAACACCCAGAGTGAGTTGGAAGTGACATCCAAACTTCGTACCTAACTACCAAACCTTTTAATTCCTTCTTCGGCAAGAGGCCCCAAACCCAAAACAAATCACAGCTGACCAAGCCATAAATGCAGGACTTCATAAACCGCTTTGGCATCAGTCTGCCAGCGCTGGTCTCCATTTGTCTGGGCGTGGGTATCTGCGGCTTGCTGTGCCTTTGCGTCCTCTGTGTCTTGCCTGTGACATTTCAGAGTTTCTGGGGCGGATCTGAAGGGCGAGATTGTTGTATCCCAATCCACGTGTGATTCGGCATCAAGTGGTGCAGGGATGGGCTCTCCTCTTGTTCAGAAATAAGACGGTCGCCGTTTGCTTCAATGTACATTGATGACATTCCTGATGGCCTTCAACTTCAAACGGAGTCTCATTTCTGGAGGTCCCATCCTTGCCAGCCCTCGAATGCTGAACGTCTTCCGCATCAATGCACCAGAGCGTGACGTGACTTACTTCAGTTTGGGGCAAATGGTTGCGAACAAGCTGCCCATTCTGCATGAAGCAGTCCAAGGTTCAAGCTGAGCATGCTGTGGTATGGGCTCCCATGCAAACTGTCAGCAGGAGCACATTTCGCTAGCCAGGCACAGATGCCAAGAAGATGAAGCAGCTGGACAACCTGCTCAAGATGAAGCAGGAGGCACAAACTGTTTCAAGATTCCCAAGACTAGCTCTGTTTTGATAGCTTTGCATATCATACCTTAGATGCCCCCCCGCCCTCTAATAGTGGTATAATAGGAATATATGAGGACCCAAGTATAATCCTTTATTCTCCCTTATGGTTACTATTGCTGGATGGGGGGTTTAGCTGATACATAACCTCATTTAGGGGTATATAGCCTCTTTATAGGAGTCCCTACATAACCCATTATAGTAGTTTCCATTTTCTTTTCCATTCCTTCATTGCGAGCTAACAGGTAAGTGTTGTAGGCGTCAGCTGGTCGTGAAGGTCAGCACACACTTTGACCCAAAGACTTTAAGTTTGTACCCTTAATGTTTATAATCCGAGGTTTTCGGTCCCAAATACCCTTATTAAGGGGGATATTCTTTTCTAAGGACAATACTCCATGGCTCCAAAGGAAAACCCCTTGATTGACAGGTGAAAAGCTTGGAAGCCCAGGTCCAGGAGATCGTTGGCTAAAATGCATGCAATGCGGGGGTTTCCCAAAATAAGGGTTTAGGGTTTCGGGATTAGGGATTCGGGTCTCAGGGTTTAGGGTCCAGGCAGGGTCTTTGTGTGACTCGCGGTACGACGCGGGAGTTGCAGGAGGGAAGGACAAGCTTTTGGCAGGCCTCATGTGAGGAGTTCCTAGATTTTTGTTGCGGCTCTTGAGGATTTTTGGTTCCAGGAGGCTACCCATGTTGAAGCTTGAGTGTATGTGGCTGGTATCCAGGAGCACGCAACCACCACTGATGACTGGGGCATGTCCCACAAGGTGCAGAGTGAAGAGCAGAGACACGGACGCAACCAGATGTGTGGAATTGGGTGGCGGTGAGAGTCAGGTGTTCTCGCTAGGTTTTGCTTACAATAATGTGGCTGCCAGAGGGTATGGAGGGAACGATCTCCAGAAACTTTTTGTCGTGAGCTGGTATACTCTCGTTTCGGGCTTCAAGAGGAATCATGTCCTGCAGCGCAAGGCGAATGCTAGAGCGGCAGTTGGATCGGAAGAGGAGGCAACAAGCAAAGATGGAAAGGACGGCAGAAGCAGGTGACAGGGGTTTTGGCGCACGCCTTGTAATTTTGGTGATGATGTCTTGAGGTTTGCTAGGACTGCAAGTCTTCCTGCCACCACGAGCCACCTCAACTGCCGCGATGATTGTCGTTGCTGCCACCAGAAAACACTGTCAAGCAGGTGAACAGAAGGAAGTCAAGAAAGAAGAAAAGGTGCAGAGGCCGTCGTGCCTTGCGTTCACTCAAGTCCGATCCAGCACCCCATGGAGATTGCTTTGCTTTGCTTGTTCGAAGTGGTCTCCGAGCCACAATCCTCCAGATTGTTTGCATAGGATACACTGCATATCGCAACGTGCTTCGAAAGTTTGGGCTGGAGGGCGCATCAGATCCCCATTCAGTGAGGCAGCGCGCAGACGATGAGCGCTATCGTCGGATGAAAGAGGTAGGGCCCTCTTCGGATTGCAGCAATCGTTAAACATGTTCGTCTTTAGCATTGGTGATGAGTTCTGCCATGATCCCAGGCCTACCGCCCCAGAACTATTGCGGTAGATGGAGTGGCGCTGCGGGCACCAGAGTCAGTGCTGCAGCTGCAAACGGCTGGGGTTTCAGCCTATCCGGGAAGGGTACGAAGCCTGTGGTAGAAGGGCTTAGGGCTACATAGGGATTGCATGAGGGTCGTTTAGGATTGGGACCCATCTGCGCGAAAGACCTATAGAGATAGAGATTGCCATGCGTTCTTGCTCAGAATCTACCGTCCAAAAAGCGGCCGTACCATGTCATTATCATCCTGTTTTATAGTCATCATGGCTGTCATTGATGTGACCGTTGTCTTATCCATGTTATTGCCAGCAGAATAGTATGTGCCGCTTGCTTCCTGTCATCACCGCCCAGGTGCTGCTGGAGCTGGGCTTTGAACCCGAAGCACTGGAAGCATTCTCCATGCCAGGCTTCTCTAGCTCGCTGGCTGCAAATCAGCGGTAGGCATTCAGAGATTATAGCTCCTCAAGGGTTGCTGCAAAGCTCGAAATGTGATGGCTCTAGTCTTGTTGAGGGCACAGAAACTGTCAGCACCCTGCATGCCTGGCCAGCTCAGGCATAGATGCAGACGGCAACCTTGTGGCGGCACCCGAGGAAGAGGACTCCGACGAAGATGCGGAGGAGCAGGAACGGGAAGCCGAATTCTCACTCTTTGCACCGGCAGTTAGCTCTGGCCTAGAGGCCCCAGTCTTAGTGGATGTCTCGTGCGAGTGGAAAGGGGTCCTGGAAGAAAAGCATATCGCCTTGTACTGCATCAGGAGGAGAACGGGCCGCCGCCCCCTCCAGATGACGAGGTCTCCGAGTGCTGCGGGCATGTGCCAGAGAAGGATCTGGAGTATGCTCATGATTACACGGCCTCAAAGCTAGGCACCGGCAAATGGCTGAACACCTCAGCACGTCCATCAGGCCTCCAGACTACCTGAAAGTTTCTCAAATATTTGCACTTTCTCCTTACAGCATTCGGGAACGGTCTACGAAGATGGAAAAATTTCCTGGCTTGCAGGGGGCATGCCAGGGAAGCTGGTTCTGGAAAATGCTCAGAGCAGCTAGGGCCACCTATTTCAAGACCTGCCCTCCCACACGGCAGTGCTTTCAGCTGAGCTTAAAGACATGTAATCGGAAACTTTACATATTATAGGATTATAGAATTACTCAACTCATTGCAAGGAAGAAGGAGCTATGCGGCAGGAAAGACAAGTCAGTTTCTGAAGGCCTGGACTTAATCAAGATTCCCCTGGAAGGCTTCTGAGGATGCCTTCGACCTCGCAGCACTTCAAGCACCTTGGCTTTCCAAAAATGATGGACTGATTGTGATGGACTAGTGACTAGTGGCCATCATGTAGGGAAAGGGTTGGTCTCCTTCGCACAGAGATATGAAGCGATTTCTTTTCTGATGTCCGGAGTTTTCAGGGCTTGCACTTCAATGTCATAGGAATGAACTTGAACCTTGCTGAGCTCCTTGATTCTGAAATTTCCCTGGACAAGATTAGGCACATACTTCCATTGCCATGTCGAGAGGCATGACATACAGCTACTCCGGAAAAAGACTTATGGCTCTAAAAGATGTTTTTGTAAGCCTGAAACCTTCAATTTCCTCCGAGTCTGTGAGATGCAAAATTTCACTCCCAATCCTCCACACATCCACCAGTTCTTATGACCATTTTTTCTGACACTCGAGACCCCCCATCCCCGCAGATCCAATTGTTTTGGCCCAGGCAGCTGCAAAATGGGCAGCCATCGATGATGCAGCTCTCCGGGTTCCCCCGGAGCACCTTGGACAGCCCTGAAATGCTGAGCATACAAAAATGCAGAAGGCATTTCACAAAGCAAGCAACCAGCCCCTACCTCTCCAGAGCATTGCTACCCAACTAAATTCTGACATACTCTGACGAGCTTTGAGAGGGCACTCATGGTTTTTCACACGCGGGATAAAGATGGTGAGAAGCAGAGTAGGGTGCAAGAAGCGACAGTAGTTGAAGTATGCGCCGTCGCGGTTGGCATTTGAGCTGCTGTAACAAGCATGATAACTGACATTGTTATTCTGTAGCTAGCAGAAGTGAGTCTGTTGCCATGATTGGTCATGAATCTGCATGACTAGTTTACCTTGCATCCTTTATCTGCTGCTGCAAAAGAAGGAACCAACTGCATAAAGATGCACAATTTCAGCCACCAAGAATCCCTTTGATAGCTTGTCAAAATTGTAGTCCCTCTCGAAGTTAGTATAATAGGGCCAGTAGTGTTTAGCACACCGAAGAACGGACCATGATTTTGACAACCCTGTTACGCGAAACCCGTTAACACTAAGCCCTAAACCTCACAGAAAGGACCTCGATAACACGAGAGTCTCTACTTAAGATGTTACCACTCCAAATATTCCTTACATGCCGCAGCTGTACTTACTTCATCTGAGGCTTCATGGGCCCGCTATTCTGAAACAAGACCCTTGTTCTAGAACACAACTATCTGTATAGCATGCAGATCAAAGCTTGCAGGCTCGAAAGCTGGAAAAAATGAAGTAACGATTATGTACACAGTTGGAGGAAACCTTCTGCTGCTCTTAAACCCTCAGCCTTGAACCTTAAACCCTTAACCCCTGCACCCTGAACCACAGAACCTTCAAAATCTTAAGCCCATCCCTAAACCCAAAATCCCTGAACCTTAAACCCTGAATCCCAAAGCCCTGAAAAACCCAAGACCGTAAACCCTAAACCCCAAGGCTGGACGAGGCCCCGAACATCGCCAAGGAGGGTGCTGGGCTGAAGCGACGGGGGGCCATGGCGGGCACCAAGGACAGCCTAAGACTACGGTTTAGAATTTAGGGTTTAGGGTTTAGAGTCAGTCCGTGCTTCCAAAAAAAGGTTTCGAGTTTAGAGTTTAGGGCTTAGGGTTTAGAGTTAGGGTTTGAGATTTATGGTTTAGGGTTTAGGGCCTGAGAGTAGGGTTGCCGCTTGCATGGTTCGGATGTGGGGTTTAGGCTTTAGGGTCTAGGTTTAGGGTTTAGTAGGGGGGTGGGGCTGGGGTTTTATAGCATGGAGAACCAAACAGAAAAGAACATGGAACATGAAATGGAAACTACTATGGGGTTTGTCCTAAGAGGAAGGAGGGGGTTGGGGTTTAGGGGAGTAGGGGCTTCGGGTTTCGGAGTTTGGGCTTTGAGTTTAGGGGTTTTGGGTTGAGGGTTGTTGTGATCCCCAAGTACGGGGGAGGTATCGGAGGTGGCGGTAGTTTGCTAGAGATTGGGGTCAAGGGTTTAGGAAGTGGGTGTGGGGGAGGATAAAGCGTGGGTGGGCGCGGTTTCGGGTAATGTTTGCTGCTGGACAACCCTAAACATTGAACACTGAGCCCTCAACCCCTAAGCCCTGGACCTTAAGCCCTAAACCACAAATCCACTAGACCCTAATTCCCGCGGAATTTTGGACAACAAATCCAAAGTTACAAGCCTTAAGGCTACAACCTGAAGTCTTTGATGTGGAAGGTTGTAGTTCAACCCTAAACCTTGAACCGCCAAACCCTACAAACCCTGGACCCCCCACACCCTAAACCCTTCAAACTCTAAACTCTAAATCCCTAGACCCCTAACCCCTAAACCCCTTGAACCCTGAACCCTTTAAACCTGAAACCCCTATAGGAGGGCCAGCCCATGGATACCGAGCTGCTGAAGCGTGCCCAGCGGATGGCTGCCGGCCTCAAGGCCTGTTTTCACCGGTGCATGTCTAAGGGTTTAGGGGTTGGGTGTAGGGGCTTAGGGGGTAGGGTCTAATGAGACTTCTTGCTGAAAGCAAGCGACCGGAGAGAGGCTTTCCCAGCAGAGGCTTCGAAGGCTGGATGCAAAAGGGTTTTGGGGTCTGGGGGTTTGGGGTTTAAAGGGTTTAGGGTTTAGGGGTTGATGCACACTGGTTAGGGCAGGTCTACGGGTTCTATGGGGGTTTCCCCTGAAAGGGGTTATAGGCGGATAATGCAAAACAACATGGAAACTCCTACTTATGGTTTAGGTTTTAGAGATTTGGGTTTCCTCAAATTGGGCATATTACCCCCCAATAGCGGATAACCACATTGAAGAGAAAATGGAAAATGACATGGGCATTGGAATTATGCACAAGTTCATAGGCATGAGCGTTGAAAATTGGGGTACCTTTTTTGGAGTCCCCATAATGGGACTTCAGCATTTTGGAGTCTACCCCCTATTCAGGTAAAGTCGCATATAAGGCTATATAAGGTCCTAAATCTATGCATGGGTATAACGGGTCCCCTTAAAACGATTCTAGGGGCTACAAAGCGGTTATATAGGATTATATAGGGGTTATGAAGGGATTATGTAGGCACAATAGAAAAGAAAAGGGTAATCAAAAGTTAGCTTCAGAGTTGAGGGTTTAGGGTTGTATAATGGCACTATTGTAGGGGTTAGATGACAGCTATATAGAGGTCATATGAGGATTGTAGAAGATTCAGGGGTACTGCACCCCCAATAGCATAGAGAGTGACAACTGGATGCTTATGGGGATGTATATGGTTTAGGGATATTCAAATGGAAAGAACACGAAGCATAAGATCAACAAACTGAAATTTGATAATGCTTTAGAGGGTTGAAGGTAGGAAGCCACTCAAGTTATGACCGGGTTAGAACTAACCTATACCCTGAAGTTGCGATTCTAGATAGCACTAGTGACCAGAGTTTTGCAAGATGCCTAGCCAGTATCTAAAGGACCTGCGAAAGAAGCATGTGCATGTAGGGCTTTTTGACCAATAGTTTGTGTCTGTCCTTTTTGTGGTTTGGGTTCGAAGAAGGACACAAGATTGGGGTCATGGGTTAAGGAGCCAGAATGGGCTTAAGTTCGCAGATCGTGGGTTGGCGCAGGCGGTCCTGGATCGTGGTTTCAAGAACCCCCAACCAGAGATTCACACTTTCTAGGCAGGACTCAACTCCAGTCATCTTCACAACGTAACTAGCGATGAATCGGTGGGGGACGCTGGGCCATATTTTTGAGATGTCACGTTGGCTTTGCGCTAGGCTTAGATCGACGCAGGCATTCAAGGAACCAGTAGTAAATGGAGCAGGATAAGCTGCCTCAGAGATGTTTAGTGGCCAACTCCCCTTGTTGAAGCTTCGATGCGCCCAAACAGTTGGGACCACGAGGGTCATGAAGCCTTTTTTTTTGGCAGGTCGGCGCTGAAGTGCATGAAGAGGACGAGGTGAGACCCCTGGTTTGTGCACCCTAGTGAAGTCCCAGTCTGCACTGGCAGCCTCAGGTGGACAAGTGGATTACACCTGGCAAGTCGGAACCCAGCTCATCAAGACCCGGCTCATCAAGGCCTTCGGACGGCTTCCAATATATTGCAGGAAATGGGCTGCCAATGCTGAGGTAACGTGAGTGAGGACTTGCAACCTGAATAGTAGTGGCAATATCTGCGAGAGTGAACAGTTCTTGCCTCGATGAGGATGATGATTGTACAAGAATGCTAAGAATGCTGACAACCTAGCAAGCTGCAAGTAGAACCTCTCTCGAGCCCCTTTGAGACCATCACTTTTGCTAGGCCCGATACCGCTCGGGCTGACACCTCGCGCAGCCAAGCGAGCAACGCCCTGCTGGACTCTGGAGCTGATTGGGTTGGGTATTCAACGGGTCAACAGGGTTATTCCCTGCCAAAACACAGTTGACAAATCCTTCTGCAGACACTTTGTCATTCTCATGGTGTTGAACTGCGAGGGCCAAGCTTCCGCAGCCAATGGGCCAAGGATTGGGATGCGCTCGAAGTGGACAAGGATGCCCTGAAGAAAGAAAAGCTCTTTGCCTGCACTCTTCTGATTGTTGCTTTTTACAGGAATGAAGTAGAAGTAGGATCTATTTGTCTCACACCGCGGCTATGCCAGGTATTTTTAATATGTGCAGACATCGGTCAGGCAGGCTTGCACACGATCCTACCGGCTTGATGTACGCCGCAGCAATGTTTTCGAAGAATAGGAGCCAGCTGAGGAAGGAGTATGAGATTTTTCAGTTTCCGCCATGTTTCTTCACAACGCATCGGCTTGATGGGTTTAGCTTTTGCCTCTGATAAAGATGTAGTCGCTTGACGTTCCGAACGTGCAATCCCTGGGTCTACTACGACATCCTGATTTCATGGCTTTCGAAAACGTTTGGTTGTTTGCTGTGGATTTGCTGTAGCAGGTCTTTGCTGCTAGTGATTCGAGTCCTTGCAGGGCAGCTGTTGCCACAGGTGTATACAGATGCACAAAACATGCAACGACAAAATCTATTCTGATTTCCCAAAAGAGGGGACCCCAATATAGACCCCCAAATACTACAGTCCTTATTATAGGGACCCCCAAAAAAGGTATCCCTAATTTTGGGAAACCCCCCTATAATGGACTAAGGGCAAAGGAAGTGGCGCAAGCCACGTTGCAGAAGCAGCGGCTCAAAGCGATCACAGAAGGCTCGGTGAGTTTGTGGGTCTCACGTGTCATGGCTCTTTACATTTCTATTTATGTCATCAGATACACTATAATATAGTATATTATAATATATTACGGTATATACAATAATGTGTACTATAATGTATGCTATAATCTACTGAGAAGTAGTTATCCTCCAGAACATCGGTCTGCGGGTCTGACCTGGCGTTACGGTTTTGAGCGGGGTAGCAGTTGTGTTAAGGCAGCCCGTGTCGTGTGTAATGCCAGGAAGATCCGGGACTTTCTCAATTTAGGGGTTTCCTGTATGCACCCCAAAATGGCCAGATCCTTTACATAGGTTTTCAAACAATAATCCTTGATTCTGAAAAACATGCTTTGTTTGCGCCTTTGGTGTGTCCTTCAGGAAGTTTGCCTGACGCCTGTGGGCTCATGGTTGTAAAGAGTTCGAGCATTAATGCACGCCACTGCTTTGGGCTAGAAGCAGGTTGGCGGCACCAGTATGCCCCAACGATCGCACCTACTGAGCAATCTTACCAACCGACCTTGCTTCAAGGAGCTGTAATTTGCAGGCCTACGTAAGCTTGCCAAGGTGAAAAGAAGGACGCCAACGCAGCGGCAGCCGCTGAGGAGTCAGACGACTCTCAGGAGGAGGCAGCGGAGTTTGGAAGAGATTGCTTGATCATGTCTCTTTGTATGGTTCAGGCAGGGATCCCGACCCCTGCTGCTTGCATGTCCTTGCTATCCTCCTTACTATCGGCACTTCACCCTGTAGAGCCATGAACATCGCGGGAGCAGCCTTGAGCTCCAAAACCTCACTGTTTGATGTGGTTAATATTAGGATTATATCGGAATAATGGAAAAAAATGGAAACTACTTACTATAATGGGTTATAGGGTATAGAATATGGGGTATATGGGGATCTCACCACTTTGGAGCCTGTGCAAGCACCTTGCGCGATGCATCTTTGGCCTTGCAGGACATTGAGGTGAGACTGGCCCGGGCCGCTGCGCCAATGACAGTTCTTTGCTGGCAAATACGTTTGTGCAAGGTTTTGGACGGAGTTCGTGTAGGTAAGGCTCCGCTGCCCCTTTTCGAGATTGGACTGGGTTTGATTTTTAATTGTTCCGAGCAATGGAGTTGTCATGAGGCTTTGTAAGGTGGGCCAACGCGCAGCACTAGACTGTGCAGGTAAAAACTGCTTTCGGACGTCGCAGCAATATGATCACCATGATGCAGCAACATGCCGTCCTGATTCTAGTTATTGCAATCTATAGGAAAGTGTTCTGGATCAATCTTGTCTAGGAATTAAGTTGTGAGGTTTTAGATGTCAGAAGCATTAATTCCTTCCAATGTAACTGAAACCATTACATTAGAACCCGACTTCCATTTCATTTCCCATGTTTTGCTCCATTGGATTCTCCACTATTGGGCTACTATATCTCTTAACCCTTTCTATAATATGTCCTTACATATCCCTACATATGGTACTTCTCCCGGAATAGGGGGAACCCAATATAGACCCCAAAACATTTTTTTAATCCTTATTAATTAAGTGGACCCCCAAAACGGCACCCCTAATTTTGGGAAACTCCCCAAATCATCCTAAACCCTAAGCCCTAAATAGTAGTTTCCATTTTCTTTTCCATTATCCCTGCATCTCCCTACTCATCCCGCAGTTTGGGATCCGTATTAACACCGAGACCAGGAGGCCATGATGAGTGTCTTCCCCAAGAAGGAGGCAGCCAAGGTTGGGACGGTTAAAGGTCTTCAGGGATACTCACGGTTTAGGGTTTAGGGTTTAGGGTTTAGGGTCAGTATGTGGGCTGTTTGGGAGGACCTGTAGGGGAATATGTAGGGTTTTGGGGGGACCTATTTAAGAGATATACTGCAATTTTAGTCCAGGGCTCATGTAGGGATATGTAGGACTATGTGGGCATATATGGGAAATGTACGGTTTAGAGAAATATAACCCCAATTATAGCAGAATCAAATGGACAAGAAGATGGAAGATGGAATGGAAACTGAGCTTATGAAGTGGTTTCAGTTGGGGGTGTCCAAAAAATGGCGATCCCTCTGTTGCAAAGTGTTTTTGGTTTCAGGTGTGGGCCTGGGTTCAAGCATGTCTGTGTGGGGCATATTTCCCCACACTCCGCTCGGTTTTGGGTTTTCGGTCTAGGGTATGAGGCTTAAGGCCGAAAGGGCTTCGCACGGCTTTGCCGGCTTCCATCCCATTTATCGTGCGCATCACTTAGTTCCGCCCATCTAGTGACAATAGTCTATGGAAGCTCCCGTGCAACTCTCTGGGATGCTGTCGAGGAACAGTAAATCATTTTCGATGGGGCAACCATACTGTTTACTACATATCCAAAGTACGGCAACTTAATCAAAGTTCCTTAGCAGCAACCTAGTCTATCACTCCCTTAGAGAAGGAGCCTTTAACTCCGGCGCTCGTGCTGCGCAGGAAGCAGTGGCAGAACCATCTCCTCAGCATGCAACACTGGTACCAGAGGCTGTGACTTTATGGCTTGGGGATGTAGGATTTAGATACATGTCAGTGGAAGGGTGTGCATTTTCCAAAAGCGAGAAGTGGTAGAAGCAAAGTAGGGGTTTGGCAGGTAGTCAGAAAGGCGAGCATCTGTAGCTCTGACTGAGAGGATGTACCCGGTGCAAAGCCCAGCATGTTGGTAAAGAGGCTGCAGCAGCCGCGGGCGACGTTGTCGAATCGAGTGCAGCCTTTTGGCATTGCATACTGCCAGCTCTTGCTGCCAGCTGCGTGGTAGTTTTCAACAAGTAAGTCTGCGCAACGCAAATGAAGTCCAGTTGGCTGTGCAGTTTGATTGGACTGCAGGGTTCATCATGTGGCTTGCAGTCAAAGGTGCTGAGGATGTTGCCAACCCTCTTGACCTTGGCCCCTCACGGGGCAGTTTCCATAACAAGGGAGATCCTAATGTAGACCCCAACATGCTATAGTCCTGATTATTGGGACCCCGAAACGTAGCACCCCTAATGTTTGGAAACCCTAAACTGTATAAATCCATATAATCCCTGTAAATGCCCTATGCACCCTAAATAACCCCTCCATAACCCATTTAAAGGCATCACTAGTGAAACTCCCAGTGTGTAAGTGTAAATGCACCCAGCATAACTTGAGGCGAGCAGCACTGCAACTTCGCAGCAGGCCTACCAGGGCAAGGCACGATGGTCAGAAGCCAGACATAAAATAGAGTATGTATAGGTATACAATCATTTTCGAAGATATATGGTTTATGCATACAATTATATCTATATCATCTATAAAAGATATTGTGTATATCTTATTATACAGATGTTGGAGTATCTATGAGGATATATCAATAACGAACAGAGGCTGAACTTCAGGTTATAAGGTTGTATGCAGCTTTGTGTACGGATTATGTGGTTAGCTAGGGTTGAGGGATGCTATCCCAATAATGGAGAATCACCTGGAAAAGACAATGGAAAGTTGAATGGAAACTGGGTTTATGCATATATATATATACACACCCACAGAATCCACGTGAATCCTGAGGTGTACTCAGGCATGGCAGTCCGTCCGCGCGGTCTCGGCACCCCTCGCCGAGACATGCTGGCTGGGGAGATCTACCGGAGCTCACTGGATGCTCCGCAGCGTGGCCGCAAGGGCAGTAGAAGTAGCAGTGACTGCAGTTCACCGTTTTGACTAGATCTGATATTGTTATCAATTTTCAGGTAAGGAGAATTGCAAGTTGTTCGGTTTATCAGAAACCAGGACAACGCTGACAAAAGACGGCTTGGCCTGGGGGCGCTTCCTTTCGACAAAGGCACACTACCGGACGCCAGAGGAGATCTGCTTGGAATTAGTAGCTAGGAGCTTGACACCAGGAAGCAATGCGCCAGCTCCCAGAAAAAGGCTATGTCATGGGAGTCTGCTTTGTTTGTTTTACCAGGAGAAAGCCGAAGCCGCCAAGTCCCAAAAGCAGAGCCTTGGATTAAACAAGGGGCCCAGTCCGGGCCTGCAGTTGAAGCGGTGCATTCAGCATCTGTCAATCAATACCTTCACTGAGGATCTGGCCCCAGTAATTCTCAGGCCTCCCTTCGCAGTACATCTTGTATACTCTCGCAGGCTGGCTTTTCTATTTTAGGACTTTAGGTACTCCTGAAGAAAGCCCTAGAGCCATCAACTGTAAGGAAGGGATTCTTTCAGCGAATGTTTGGGGGTGGCGGAGACGACGCAGATGACCTCGACGAGGCCTTTGGCTGTCTTAAAGAGATGTACTCAGTATGTAGACGATCAGCATATCCTGCATGGAGTTTTCCGCTTCGTCCATCTTCAAGAACACTGCCGTGCCGCAGTGTTGTCAAGACACTAGCTGTTGTGCCTCTTCACCCTCCTGCCTCCGTTTGCACCTACACGCAGTGGCAGACGTTTCGGCAGCTGTGGCGGCGTTGTGGCCGTGCCCGTGGCTGCGGCGGTGGCCGCGGTCGTCTTCGTTGTTGTCGACGTTGCCGTCGTTGTTGTTGTTGTTGTTGTTGTCGTTGTTGTCGTTGTCCTGCTCGTCGTCGTGGTCGTGGTCATCGTCGTCATGGTCATCAGTTTGGTCGTGGCCTGTGCCATCGTTGTCATGCCCGTGGTCGTTGCGACTCGCCCGCCTTGCCGTGAGGAGGATTATTTTGCATGCTGGAATGTGTGCAATCAGGATCCTGCCCTACCCTGAGGTAGCCGGAGACGCAGGAGCCCCCTCGAATCTGCCAACCAGCCCCTGATCCCATAAGATGCTCGATGGAATGGTAAGCGAGTTGTCGGTTGATGTGATTTGACCGTTCTGGGTACAGCTGCAGCTGGCTGGCATGCTAGAGTCCGCGTACCGGCTGCAGCTCAGATTCTGGGAGCACATGATCACTTGCAGCGCTGCTGTAAGGAGTCTTTACGCAGAGCGGGCTGGATCCAGAGGCGGCGCTCGCCATGACGGATCCAAATCAAGCCAACAACGAGCTGAGAGGCTTCAAACCTCCTGTAGCACTGTAGGTCGTGTGACAATGTACGGAACAAGTAGCTCCGTAGATCCCTCAGATTTCCCTAGCCAGAATAAGACCCGATTGTGTTGCCGTCGCTTCATGCAGGAAGTATTTGACGGTCTCACGCAAAAAGCAGTATGATGTAGTATGTGGGGGAATTTGAAAAGGCAGCATCACGGTCTCTTGACGTCCAGTCGTAAGGTAGCACCATGGAATCTAGCCACAGAACCGTGCACACTCCGCTTGTACATACGAATTCCTGACGCCAAATCTTGCTGCAGACCTGGATGAAATGTCTAGATTGCCTTGAAGCAAGATGTGCAATGCTCAAGTAGTATCCAAATAAATCGCAGAGATATTCTTCTTTGAGACCGGCCGATGGTCGACAGATTTGTCAAGAGGCAAAGTTCACATGAATCCAGATCTGTGTAGCAGCTTGGGAGTTCGCTGGAGTGGCTACACCCTGCGGCAAGCGCAAGACACCCAAAATGCCACATGCCTATCAGCAGTTGGAAGTACGATTTGTGCGTGACTTCTTAAATGCAGCGTCTTGTACTTGGTCCGCGGACGCATTTTACATGGAAGTTTGAGCAACTGTGAATGCAAATCCTAGTGTGCTATTGCAATCCTGGTCCCTGGGGTGTCCAGTTTGTCAGGAGCAGGGTCCAGAATTAAGAAATTTCTTGGGGTGCGCGGGGCAAGCAGCCATGGTCTCTGTGCAAGCCTAGGAAAGCATTCCTTCCAAGAGCAGGGCAAATTCGGGCAAACAGATCAAACAGGAACCAAAGAAAATTGACCTACGAACTTAGGCTTGCCTTTCAGAAATTCTGGATTTCTTTCAGGGTGGTAGAGTAGATGCTGCTGAGGCTATGCTTGCGTGCCGCGCAGAGCGCCAGGCCCCTGGCTGTATGCCTCAGGTCTGGGCAACAAATTCAGTTTGTCATGGGTCCATGTAATTCCGAATGGAAATTCATCGAAATTCCTTGATGGTCTGCATACATCCCAAGAGTACCCCGATTTCGAGAAACTCCCTTAGGGCAAGCTATGCAGACATGATCCTAAGTTGTAGAAGGTCTGCAGAACAGATCGTGGCAGTGGAACGTAGCAGGTGTCAGGAGATTATCCTGCACAAGCTGATGGCATCGGGGCTCTTGCATTTTGAGACTTGGGGGAGGGCTCGGATTCCAGAGCCACAGACTTGGGGCTATGCAGTTCTTGTCTCTGAGTAGGCTTAGGGACACCCCCGTTCTGCAAATGTGTTGGGTTTTCGAAGCTGCAGCGCTTTCCAATGTTGTGCCTTGTCTATGCAGCTAAGCAGAAGCGGCTCAAATAGGTTGCTGCTTCAGGCAACTCATATCGTCATCAGTCGTTCTTTAGATCTTGTGGTCTACGACAGATTGAGAAGCTGCGATGGGTTGCGCAGCCAGCACGGTGACCGAAAGCATGAGCAAGCGCGGATCACCAAGGCGCGGATCACCAAGGGTGATTGTCAAGGATTCTTCTGGCGTAGATATGGAGGTGGAAGTGGACTTCATTGAGCGAACGAGGAGCTTCAACTCCATGAGCAGTGCTTCCTCGCCAAGTGACAGCATCCACGCTTGTGCTCCACTCAAGTGCACGCACAAAGCGTATGTCCAAAGGCTCGACAAGCTCATGAAGGAGATCGATTCGCAGCCAGATGCTCTGCTCTGTGAAGTTTCCATCCGACGCAAGAAGGACAGTGTCACCCGCATCCCCTAATAAAGCCAGCAGGTCTTGGCATGGATGTTAGACAGTGTTAGGTACGCTTTTCAAGCCACTTTGAAGGTGGCAGCTGCCGAGCCAATTGATGGCGATTCCATCTTTTGGTTCGTCTGTCTGCCGCTGCTATATAAAGCAAGCATGAGCCTACACTTCTCCCTGTGAGGGCTTTGCACCACTTGTTCTAGCTTCCAGAGAAAAATCTGCATAATCTGCTAAGGCGCCATGTGCGGGGAAGAGGTGTGAGCGTAGGCTACTAGTGACAGCCGCTGCTTACAACTGCTCTACCTAAACAGAGTTTCGGATGAAAGGTCCTGATCCCGTGTAACCACACGAGGACTCAGACCCTACCTTTCACTCCTGCCAACCTTGATGCAGAAACCTGATAGTAATAACAATAGGAATAACAGTAACAAATAGGAACAGTGAATAATTGTAATATTCAACATTCGTCTTTCTACAGCTGTACTGTCATAGCTGGACTGATCCAGTTGGATTGTTCAGGTTTCTATGTTTGGGAGGCTCCAGCTCATGTGGAGTTGACACAGGCAGAAGAATGTACTTCATTTGCTGCCGGTGGAGGTTGAACGCAGCATTCGGGCATCGTGTAGAATGGGCGTGCTCTCACTCGGGGTGTTGAAAAGACTGATTGCACCATGCGATTTACACTGCAGGGAAGTTGATGATTGTTCAAACTCATAGGTCTTCCTGAACAAGGGTGTGTGGAAGCTTTTTTTTTCTCCCAGAATGTGGATACTTTTGTCTGAGCATGCTGACGATTTTGAGCTCGTTGCCCACTTCATGCAAGATTCTTACGAGACAATTCAAATCTTCGTAATTCCAGTCCAGCTAGCCGCCCGTTGAACTTTTTCTAACCAATGAGTAGTAGGCATACAGCGGTGTTGGCAAAGGTGACATTGAAAATGAGCTTGCTGCACTGGAGGCTGACCAGTCTAGGGGCCTGAAGAAATGAGCCATGCCTCTTCTTTAGGCCCCCAATTGTAGATGGGTGCTGTGATTTTGTGGATCATCTTGCGCCCACTTCCACGGCCCGACGTGGTTTCTCAACACCACGGGTCCCTTCTCATATCGCAGGCACCTGGGGGCACCCTGGTTTTGAGAAATGCTGAGGGCCCTGAGCATTTTTTTCGGGTTGAGCCCTGCGTCTGCCTACCATGCCGGACACAGTTTGGACATGCGTTCCAGAATCTGTTCCTAAAGCATGCGTGGCAGACTTTTCCAGAGCGCGCGTCCTTTCATTAAAAAACACTTCGCCCGAATTCTTATAGTCATGATATGATTGGACGCAGCCTTTATGCAGGACCGTCGCGCGCTCTTTGACTCCCCGACTATGCTCACTTGTTTTTATTCGACCGGCTTTTAAAATACGCCACATGGGGTATTCGAAGCATTGTTTCCTTTTGTTTCCTGTTACATTTTGCTAGCGACTCTGCAATGCACGGCTGGTGGCGATTCCATAGGCCCAGGTATATGCAGAGGCCAGCGAGTCTCCGTTTTTCAATAGCTGATGCAGGGTCCAGGCTGCAGACAAATATGGGGTATCTAGGGGAGTATTCAGGGGGATTCTAGGAGTTTAAACTATAGCTCATATCCGCAGACATGTTCCCCTCCCCACAAAGATCCTTTGCTCATCTTGTGGTCATTTCTGGAGCTCCTGCATGTCTTGAGGCTTGAATCAAAGTATCCGGATTTGGGGTACATCATGGATGGTGCCATGAAATCGCGCCTACTTGGTGTCAACTTAGCAATGGGCCAGCCAGTTCCGAAGTTGGGGTTGGCTTTCGAGTTTGCAGGTTCATGGTTGAAAGCATGTTCTTTAGGTGAAGCCGCGTTCCCTACTTCTGAACCGAGTTGGCATGTCTTCCATTGACTAGGTTTCCACAATTCCTGTGCCATGTCCGTCTTGCGCCTGCTGATGGACATGCATTTGAGGTTCAGGTGCCCTGGAAGGGGTGCCATCTTCATTCTCTGTGCAATGATGAAGAATCTCACATTTCCCTTGCCGCAATACGCCCTTGACTTGCAGGACAGGTATATATCTTCTCTACGTATAGAGACTTATAGTAGAAATGAACCAGGAAGTTTTCAAGAGTCGACTCTGAAGCGCATGCGTTCTTGTCAGTTAGAGCCTGCAAGCGACAAGGTATTTGGGTCACAGCGTGTCGCGGCTCGTTTTCTTTGGCCCAGCTCTTTTCTGAAATCGGATGCAAGGTCATTTCTCCACTGAGGCAACTTTCAAAAAGGGTCCCTTCAGAGCACCCACCCACTTACCAGAAAGAATCAGAAAGACCTTGAGCTGCTCCTTGCAATGGCTGTGTGCGTTTACGGACGTCACAGCCGTCGCCAAATACTGTTACATTTGAAAGCTGGCACGCCCAGCATTCTCAGTAGTAGGAGAGGGGAGAGGAGTGAATTCTGCCGACTTTGAGACAGAAAGTGAAGCTGGGAAGATGAGGAGTAAGAAGCAATTGAGCCTGAATTCTGGGCTCAAATTTTATGAGCATGGAGATGAAGCATTTCAAGTTGATCGGATAAAGCGGCGTTCTAGAGACCGATAAGACAGGTGTCACTGCAATGGCAACAAATAATTCAGCTACAAGCTGAATGACAACAAGGATGCCTGCAGCACCCGATTGCTCGGGGCAGCATCTTTGGCATGTTGTTTTATCATGAATACTATGAGCATGGTATCCCCAAACCCTTCCAAGCCAAAAAATCTTCCACAGGTAAAGAAATACGAATCACAAGTGTAATGTCATGGTTGGCAGCAACAACATGTTCCAGGCAAAGGGCATAAGACATTGATGGAGAGACTCAATTCTGGCATCTTTTAGATCTCGTGGACTTTGTTGGAGTGCAGATGCAACCATATCTGTAGATAGTTGTACATAGCATGTGCAAAGCACACGCGGTCAGGTTTTTGTGTGTGTGAGATTGGAGTTATAAGTGCTAACATCATTCATGGCTGGTGGACCAGTGCTAGAGCT